TCAAAGAAAGATTTATTTCTCAATTTTTAGGTATATGTTGTTCAATTAGAAGGAGCTTATGCGTGGGTTCGTTTATATGGCGGTAATGAACCACCGTGTTTTGACGCTGCACATATTGCGTTAAAGGTGATAAAGCCGTTGGAATGGGAGGAATTGTTACCTGGAACACCGTGCGTGATATTCACACGTTTCAATCCTCTCGATGTCGTTAATGATGGAATTGCACGTGAACTTACAGAGGTTTATGTAATACGCTATTATAATAATACAATATAGTAACACCGTAATTATTATCTTTTATTACAGTTGCATAGAATTTAAAATAATATCACAAATAACAGTAATGATAACAACAACTATTGTTGTTATCAATATTTTTATTTAATTATTTTTTTCTAACAAACACTTGTCATCTAATGAATGCTTAAATATCAGTTGTAAATCATAGTTAAGGATATTTAAATTATATTAAAAAAAATTGAACTTAATAATATGAGCTTTATGATAAACTTCTGATAGGAAATACTTCAGTTAATAGCTTTATCAGATATTTAATATCATATTTTATCAATCACATATAAGCAAAATTTTCTTTTTTTCTTGCTAACTTTTAGTATGCTAATTTCGATTAATTAATACATTTAATGTTTTAGTTTGAATCATACGCACGTGCTATTATTGAAGAATGTGATGAAACGACAAAAACGGTTACTGTTCGGCTGGTTGATTTCGGATTTCGTCTTACGCATTTAAGCGTTACAGCTATTAAACCATTAACGATAGCATTTGACGGACCACCGCTAGCATTTCGACTGCAAATTGATTCATTACCAAAAGTATTTGTTAACCGAATAATATTTCCATATTAGCATTATGTATAATTACTTGAAAAATGTTCATATCGTAATTTTTGAAAGATTACAAAAGTTATCCTTGCAAACGTATTTTCATCGTAATTTATATCAGAAACAAATATAAAACCAAAAAAAAAGAAATAATTTCACCCAAATACAGGAACAAAAAAGAAATCATTTTTTAAATTCTTTATTTGATAAAAAAAAAAAATTAATTTTCAGATTTCAAACTAAAATTTGGAATTTTTTTCCTCGTTTCATTTTAGCAACAGAAAGAAAGTTTATGTCGATATGTAACGCTAAGCGTTCGAGTTACAGCATTACGAAAAAAGCAATTTTTGTGTTGGTCAAAGACTTGGAAGGCAATTGATATTAAGGTTAGAAGAAAGTTACCATCAACGTGAGCTAATAACATGAACACGTTTTTAATTATTGATATATCAGCATCGTAAGAACTGTAAAAGTAAGAAAAAATAATTTGGAGATTGGATATTATCAAGCGTGAAATATTTGAATAATCATTTGAAGCAGAGATTTTATGAATATTAAGAAATATACTGTGTTTACAATGAAACAATCATTTCTAATTTATTGTATTTTTTTGATCATTCAGTTAAATCAATTGATGGAACACTTATCAATGATTTCAATCATTTCGAAATTTTAACTACTGAAATTTAAAAGCTTCTTTTTGCAATTCATATCTACATATCTTTCGATCAGCTTTGATTTAAAATTTTACTTCATAATTTTTTAATCTTTTCAAATATTGTAATAATTTAGAAGCAAAATTGGAGTAGAGGAAAAAGTGATTGTTCATCGAGCATAAAATCATCTGAAATGAATAATTTGAATCATCAATATTATGGCAAGAATATCGTATATTTATTTATGCCAATTAATTATCGATGTAATTTAGTACGTTAATTAATTACCATTATTATTAGCGATACTTGTAGCATCGTCATGTTTTGGCTTTTCAACACGAGTTTTCGTTTCTGCTTGGCTTAATAAGGAACATAAAGAAGCCGGTGGACGAGGTATTGAGGCCGCATTATGTGGAATTGCTAAATATCATTCAGGTTTAGCATATTTAATTTATTTGAGAAGTTGATAATATTATCAATATAGTCAATAAATATTCTCCTTGTTTCTTAGCAATATTCAAATTTTGTAAAATTAATTAGCCAATAATTTTTTCTTAGACATGATGATGGTTGAGATGCAAAATAATTATGGCTTTCACTATACGGCTCCGGCATAATGTGTACTTTTTGCGCAATAAAATTAGCCAAATTTAGTTGTTTATTTGAATTGCAATTGAATTACGAAACTCAAATTATAATAAGAAATGATATTTACTCAAAACATTAACAAAGTATTAAAAATGAAACCAATGCAAGGGTAAATTTTGTAAGGAAGCTTGTATTAATGGTAAAAAATACATGTGAAAATGATTTAAATTTTTTGAATTGCACATATATATAATTGATAAATCGGATTTTTCACTTCATTAATTGAAAATTAAGGTTTTTTGTATATTCTCTTGCAACAAAATAATTGGCTAATAAAATTTGTGTCTAAATTTTAAGCAGTTTCAAAATTCAATATATTTTAGGATCACTTTTCTATAAAGTTTGTACATATATATAATTTTTTTAAACATATATATAATTTACCCTTAGATTTGCCACTTTCTGAATTCGCATTACAAAAAGCGGATAATTTTGTCAAAAAAAAAATCTTTCAATTTAATCGATCTTCCGATGATTGCTTAAATCGATTAACGTCAAATCGTGTTACGGTATCATTTAGTTGTTTCATGATCATTACAAATCATAATATGTAAAATCATAATGAACAGGAGTTACTGAGAGAAAAAGGTAAAAAGGGAGAAAAAAAAAACAAGACAAAAACAATCAGTTTTATATTTCGGAATTTCGAGAATATTTGCTCATCCAAAGAATAACTAAGAAATAATGAAAGATATAATTCTTTGCTAATTAGCAATTAAGCCATTATCAATACATATACATTAATTTCAGAAAATTGATAATGATTGGCCAATACTTGCAAGACTACCAAAAGTGATCAAAATGACTCCATTAGAATTTTTGAAGAAAGAAAGTCAAAAAAAGGGTAACTCAATTTGCAATATATTATAAGTAATTAACCTTATGCTTATCATAAATTCCGTTCAGCTATCATTTATCAAGTGATAATAGTTCGAAGTGCTAAATTGAAGTATGCGGTTCAGAAGAATGCTTGAAGTATTATCAGTTACAATTTGTACGAATTCTACACAGCTGAAGTATAACTACCGACATATTATCCTATTAGCATATTAGCAATTTCTTGAAAAATACTTTATTAATTTATAAATTTGTTTCAGCTTATTTTATTCATTATTGGTTATTTTAATTATATAATAAAGAACGATTGAGATTGTCAGATGCATCAACTAATTATAAATTTTGATAATATTATTTAACATAATTTGCATGCTAAACGATATAATTCGTTAGTTAACAGAGAAAAAGTGTCTTGCAACGAAGGAGCATTCAGAAAGATATAATCATCTGAAGGATTCTGATGACGAAAATGAGAATGAAATTAAAGGTTAAGTAAAAGGTTGAGAATTCATATTCTATAATTTATTCAACAATTCAAAATTTTTCTCTTTTTTCCTTTCTCCAAACTTTTTTATCAGTTTTTAGTTTGTTTCTTCATCCTCGGAAGACGATTAATTACATTAATGAAAGAGAAAGTGGCAGTTTTTAATTTCGTGTTATTGATTGAAATTATTATGATTCATTTTGCCACGAGTGATTTTCATTATATTTGTCATAATACGGCATTATGAATATGACTTTCAAATTTTTGTTAAATTTAATGAATCAAGGATGTTAAGGCTTAGGATTACAGAATAATTAATTTTGAATTAGAAAGCATATGTGTTTCTAGTTAATTTAAACTGTAGCAAAATTTGACACTAAAATGGCGAAATTAATTCTTATTAAATTTAATTTGACTAGAATTTTCTAAATAGTGAAATTTAAGTATTTGAATGCCACTGTGTTAGCAGAGATGAAATTTTAGGAAAAGGAAAGTGCTATATCAAATGAAAAATGGCATCGATATCGATAACCACTGTAAATACATGCCGAGATTTATTTTAAATCACAAATTCATTACGTACCCTTAAAATTGCAATTATTATTTGGATTTGATAAAGTATTAATTAAAGTTTTATTCCATACACTTTTCACAAGG